TTAGGGTTCAGGGTTCAGGGGTCAAGATGTGCCTTCCAACCCTAGGACCAGCTATGACCTCTTCTTACCACGCCTGGCGTTTTAATTGTCACTGATCCGAACCACAATTCTAGGGACCCCCAAAGAAGGAACCCTAAACCCCAAGCCCCAAATCCAAAGCCCCTTAACCCTAAACTCGAAACCCTAACCCCTAAACCCGAAACCCTAAATCCCTAAACCCCTAGACCCTAAACCCTAAACCCTAAACCCCGAAACCCTCAACCCCTAAAGCCCCTAACCCCTAACCCGCTAAACCCTAAACCCTAAACCCCTAAACCCCAAACCCTAAGCCCGAAACCCCTGCACTCGAAACCAAACCCCTAAACCCGAAACCCTCTTGGTAGACCTTGAGCCCCAGCCCCTCGGGAGGGGCTTTAGGGTTTATTTAGGGTTTCGGGGCTTAGGGGTTTAGGATTTTAGGGTTTTAGGCTTTAGGCTTTAGGGTGTATAGGGCTTTAGGTTTTTAGGGGTTTAGGGTTTTAGGCTTTAGGGTTTAGGGTTCCGGGCCCGGTAATGCCGACCTTTCGGCTGCCTGCCACAGGCCACAAGGCTCTGAAGGCCTACAGATACCCATAGGCCCCGAAGCAGTTCCTTTTTGGGATTACCTTATAAATTATAGGATTCTGAGGGCTTAGCGGTTCAGGGGTTTAGGGGTTTAGGGGTTTAGGGTCTAGGGTTTAGGGGGTTTTTATGGGTTTCAATGTATGGCTGAATGTAGGGGTTTCGATGCTTGAAATGAGGTCTATATGAATGGCACGGGCCCAGCTAAGTTGTCGGGCTCAGACCTAAGCCAAACCGCCTATAAATCATATACTACACACCCTAAACCCCTTCTCAGCCCCCAAAAGCCCGAAACTCTTAAAATCTTACACCCTGAACCCTTAGCCCGAAACCCTTCTATTCTAGAAGCCCAAAGAGAACCCTTTTACCCGAAGCCGTGAACCATGAATCGTAAGCCCGTAAATGTTTAGGGGTTTACGGTTTGTTAGGGTATAGGGTTTAGGGTAATAGAACAACCTTCAAGAACCTGCTTAACAAGAACCTGAAATAGTCACCACCCCAACCCCTAGCCTTAGACCCAAAGCCCTCGGCCCCAAATCCTTGAGGGGAACTTATCGAGTCATAGACGCCTTGTAGCATCAACGCCCCAAACCTTACACCCGGTTTTGTAAGGATGTCGGACAATGCGTTCATTTTCCCCATCACGCCGTCCACGCTCCTCTCAGAGATGTGTGACACCTGGTCGGCAGGCTGCTGGATGCCTTCGTGGTGCTGTAGGGTCGGTTTATGGGTTGAGGGCATAGGTTTTATAAGTGTAAGGTTTATGCCCTAAACCCTAAACCCTAAAGTATGCCTCCGCGCTGAATTCACACATGAGGGTATAGACAGGGTTGGATTCTGCTTCTGCCAGTGTGTATCCTCCATTCCCCCAAGGGTCCATGTACCCAAATAGTATATACATTGGACCCAAAGTACTTAATATAGGGACGTCAAGGGCAAAGCATATGCTCTTTGGGCACATGGCATGGACCCTTAAGGTTCTGTCCCAGACACGCTAAACCCTAAACCCTCAACCGAGAGATTGGTGCATCCACGCGCAGGCGGCGTCCAGAATGCTTTTGAGCAGGCAGGCTTTAGGGTTTAGGGTTTAGGGTTTAGGATCTCGCTTTCCCTGGTTTGCAGCGTAAGGGATCATGGGACTACTTGAATTTGGGATCTAAACAAATATACAACTATGGAATCTAACTCCTGGATTCATTGGTTTTCCCAAATGCAGCCATAATAATGGCCTTTTGGTCGTGCGGATTGACGCGAGGCAATACACGAGTCGCTCGCTTGGGAAATAGAAGCCGTGCTCACGTAGTAAAAGGTCGGGGAGGGGCACGCCTGGCCAACTTCAAGTTGAATCGTCATTATTCACCTAAAGGCTCCATAGTAGTTCCTTTTTGGGATTACCTTATAGGATCCTAAATACAAACCACAAAAAGGAACTTCTATGGAGCCTATGGGTATACCGTTGTGAATCTACTAGTATGTTGGCGCTGCTTCGGATCATCGGAAGCCTGTGCTCGGAGGTGACGAAGATCACTCAGCTGCAGTCGGAAGCAGGTGCTGCAGGACGGCGAAGGGCATGCGAAGATACCGGACGTTTTGAGGTGTAAACTGGTCAGGGCTTCAGGGCTTTACCAGGCTCTCACATGCTTCTACAGAAGCAATAATCGGTATCCAAGATCAGAACAGTGATTGGATCCATGATACTAACAGCCGTTAACATTGGTATGGAAAGGCCTGAAATCTTCATCGACATTCTCACATTTATCCTCCTCACCTGTTCACCACCGTCATGATGCTGAAGCAGCATCAGCATTGTCGGATCATTATCACCAGCCGCATCATCGTCATCATCACCGTAATCATCACCCTTATGCTCAGCATCGCCATCATTGTCATCATTGTCATCATACTCATTGCCTTCATCATATGCATCAACATCATCATCATCATCAGCAGCATCATCATCATCCCCTAAACCCCAAACCCTAAACCCTAATCATCATTAGCAGCATCCCCACCGTCACTATGACCATCGCCGTCCTCACCTTGATCGTGATCCTCTTCATCGGTCTATTTAACTCTTGTACAAGAAACTGTACACACTCGACATAGTCCATAAGCCCTGCAACACTATGCCACTTTGCCCCAAAACCCGACAAATCCTATAACTTAACCCTTACCGTAAAGCCTGCTAGATCCTGCATAACAAGAATACACCCTACACCCTACCAACACTTGTAATCCCTAAATCCTAAGCCGCTAAACGCAGGCGCAATGCACGGTGCTTTGGCGGTCGGTGGGCTTGCCACGACCTTCACGGCCTCCCAAGGACTCGAGTGCTGTGGTGTCAGAGAACGCAGTCGGTTTAGGGTTTAGAGTAAACAGGGACTAGGTAGGTCATAGCTCTAGAATACGAGTGTTTAGGCTCCGTGGTTGGCATATACAGCCACGTTTTCATATACATATATATATATATATTATTCTTATTATTTAATTTTTTATTTATTATTTTTTTTGGGGGGGGGAGGGGGGGGCCGGGGGGCGGGGGGTGGGGGGGCATTCAGGTGTTGAGCATGTGGTGTCAGAGCCGATATGCCTGGCACAAGCAGGCAGGCAGTGTTTGCGCACTGATACAGTACAGAGCATAAGATGTATTATGATTTCAGGATAGGATTATGCTTTTGAGGACTCTGATGATAGCGACGATAAATGATCGTTAGGGTGATTATGCTTATCGTCAGTACTCTTCTTTCTCTTGTCATTCTTTTTCATTGTTACTGTTGTTATCTTCCTCTCATCATTCTTTATTTGTTGTTATTCTTGTTATTCATATTCTTACTAGTAATATTATAGTAGTAGTGGTAGTGGTAGCAGCAGCATTAACAATACTATTGGCATTATTTGGGCTTGCATGCCGTGTGCGTGCCAAACAGCAGGGCTGAAGATTTGTATGACTGTATGGCTTAAGGGCGTAGGGGTCGAATGTTGCTCAGGGTTTTTTTCAGGATGTAGGGGAGGGGGACCTGGGGTTTGAGCCTAGTACCCGGCCTCTACCAACACCCCCCAAACCCTAAACCCCTAAACCCCTAAACCCTGAACCCTAGACCCTAAATCCTACCCTAAACCCTAAACCCTAAACCCAAACCCTAAACCCTAAACCCTGTCTGGTGAGGACTTTTGCTGATGGTGCCCAACATGCCGCTTGACGGAGAACTGCTCGGTTCGAAGATGGCTCAGGGTAGAACGGCGCAGGATCCTATAGCTATTCCATTATGCAAAGTATAGGGTTCCAGTACATATCTGTGAACCATGATTTGTGTAATTATGAAATGTGTAAGTGTCGCCCAAACTTTGCAAAAGGTTAAGCCCTATAAACCCTATCTTAGGGCCTCTTTGGCAGTGGTGCTCTGATTTCGACGCTCATCCGGTCTTCCAGCACGTGTCACGGTCAAGTCAGTTTTCACGACGGTCTTCTTGAGCAGACTGCGGAGCAACAATCAAGAACAAGAGTGGAATAAGCCCGATCTTAGTAAGTCGCATATCAGAGCTCAGAAAGGTGAACAGACCGACCCAAGCCCAGAACCAGAAAGGCCACATGGGGACTGCTCTCCTTGCAAAGCAGAACCCCTGCCCCACAAGGGACCACCAAAGCCCAGAAGCCAGAAACACCCCGCAGTTGCCCTGTTGGTCTTTCGAGGTTTCGCGTTGTCTACGCGGGGTTTTTGTTAAGAGACTCAGAATAATTAGGAAACCATGTTATTTAGTATAAATCCCTATCATGGTACCTTCAAAAATGAAGTTCCCCCAACCCTAACTAATAGTTAGACCCTAAAACCCTAAAGCCTAACCCGTACACTTTGTGCTTGGGAAGCGTTGCGGCTCAGCTCGCAATGACAAAGCGATGTGCAGAGTCCGGGCTTCCTGATCCCAGCAGCAAACGGACAAGAAAAAAGGCCGACTTAGCAGATGCACTTCGACAAGCTTGCGATCCTTGCTTTGTGCCCTTCGGTGGCAGCCCACCTTGCCGGTTTCCACATGCAAACGGGGTGAGCCAGCAGGCCATTTCGGCCATGAAGGAGTTGGTCAAGAGCTTTACTACCATGCCCCGAACCTTATACAGGCGGAAGGATGTCGACCTGAAGCAGGAACTCCGGAAGATCTGCACCTCAGAAGCTGGTGTCGTCAAGTGGTGCGACTTTGCACGAGTATTCCAAAGCTTTCATCCAAATGTTGCCATTGAGGCCGTGTCCGAGATTTGGGCCTTTCTTGGCGGGGGTGAGGAGCAGCCGCTACACACTTTTTTTCGGTACTGCCTCCCCAGAGGGGAGCGCTTGCCCTTGGTATCCCTTCTCTCCGCCGAAGAAGAAGCGAAGAGTATGGCTTGCGCGGACCTCGAGGCGCATGCCTTGTCCCGGGCTGACTTGTCGAAGGCTCATGCAGCATTGGCAGCAGAACACGCTGCGCTTGATCGAGCTGTTCTGAGCGTGGTGGTGCAGTCCATGTCACTTGGCGTACCAGAAAACCGTCCAGAACAGTCAGAACAGGTGAAGCACCCATCGCGTTCCTGTGTCTGGTGTCGTGTGGAGGATGCTGATCATTTATTGGTCCCCTGTGGACACGTGTGTTATTGCCACGGCTGCGTGCAGAAGTTGAGAGGTGAATGGAAAGAGAAGTGCCCCGTCTGCAGGCGCTTTTACAGGGAGGTTGTAAGAGTGTTTGCTTAGCAGCTAACCAGCCGTGCACTGGCCCGCTGAAAGAACGAATATGGGGTGAAGTGAAGGGAAAGAACAGATTGCGCAAAGCAGTGAGTGGAAACCAATAGTCGTTTGCGGTAAGCCAACATGGCTGCCCGGATGCTCGTGCAGACGGAAAAGAGCCCTGCATCGAGGGTTCAGTGGGTGAAGGCTTTTAGGGTTTAGGGTTTATAGGGTTCCCCAACGATTAAGGGACAATAGGAGGGACCCCCCTAATCCTAGTACCCTATATAACCATTATATACCCCTTATATAGTCTCATAAAGCCCCTATATAACCCCAAGGGTCCCTTTAAGGGTCTCTCCGTTAGTCCCTTGAGACGAAGTCTTGAAGAAAGCCCGAACCGCAAACACCCCAAAATCCCAAGCATCCTCAACTTCTTGCCGAGGTTCAGCCCTCAGCTCGAAAAGAACGGGGTTCTTGTTAAGGAATTTAAGTTAAGTTACCATAAATAAGGATCTACCCTAATCAGGAACCCGATTATTTACTATAGATCCCCATAAGTAAGTTACCATAAATCCTTATTATGTTAGCTTAGAGTATCCCCCTCAACAAGAACCCAAAAAAGGTACAAAATCGCGGGTGAGTTGACTCCCTGCGTGATGCATGTGGCCGCTCGAGCTGTGGCGGGACAGGCTGCAGCCCCAGCAACATGCTCGCCTGGGGCCGGTCATTCACTGATCTCGAAAGGTCCCGGAATAAGAGACGAACAGGGGTATACGGTATGTGTGCAGAAATACTTAGATGAACGATGTTTGTGCTTGCCTAAGCCTGCCCTAAACCCTAAACCCCTTCTTCCCCTGCTTAAACCGATGAGTTGAACTGTTCCAGAACTGGAGCACTCGAAAGCTAAAATCACGAAACACCGATGAAAACCTGGAGCTCAGTATATCATGGGTTGCTGTTAAGGAACTTAACATAGGGGCCTTAATAATTAGAATAGGGTTTGGGGGTATGGCATACTATAATTATAATGAGAAACCCCCCAAAACCCCATTCTAATTATTAAGGCCCCTACGTTAACTGAAGTTACCATAATCGGCGGGGCAAATACAGCAAATAATAGGGCCTCTCTTCATTGTAGTAGCTTAGTTTAAGTTCCTTAACAGCCACCCAGTGTAAATCCCAATGTCTACTTACACGGCTGCCTTAAATATCACTGGAGCCTCCCCTCAGAACCCATGAACCCCAAACCCTCAGGCCCATAAAGCCCTCTGTAAATCCCAATCTGGATTCCGAAACCCTAAATCCTAAACCCTAAACCCTAAACCCCTAAACCCCTAAACCCTAAACACTAACAACAAGTCCCTGCGCTTCGAAGGCCCTGAGCATCTTTGGTGACCAGAACGACATCCAAGCTGTGCGGCAGCTGGCTCAGTTCTTCTTTAATTGGGGCTTCAGTTCCTTCGTGCTTTGAAATTTGGATACTGCTTGAGAGGTTGTTGGTGCCGATGAGGGATTCTTAGTCGGGCGTGCTGTTGTGTGATCCCCCGTTTTTTGGGGGGTGGAGCCATAGCTATATGTTTTGGCTTTTTGTTCGAGGCCCAAAAATGCAAAATTGATGATGCTTGTGCTCTGAGGAGCTCAAGCTCCGAAGGAGTGGGTGTAGGGTTTAGGGTTTAATTAATTAGGGTTTAGGGTGTAGGGTTCAGGGTTTAGGGTTTAGGGTTTCTGTTTCGGGGTTTCAGCAGCCCCCTATCTTCCAAGCACCCGTCCAGCGGTTACACTTGGTTTTGAGAGGTGACAATGCAGAGAAGCCCGGACACGTTGACGCCACAGCCCGACAAACCTTGCATTCTAAACCACCCTGAAAACCGAAGTAAAACCCCACCACTGTCTGCAGCCCCAAGGGCTGCAAAGAACGGAAGCCACGAAGCGCTTTAAATTTCGAGCTTCCACCATCCCCCCCAAGCCGTATCTGGCAGACCTGAAATCCCTAAGCCTGAAATGTTCAGGGACCCAAAACTGTAAGGGTCCATGTACCCAAATATAT